AGCTAACACTAACCAGATAGCTGCCACACTGTAGACATTCACCCATAACACCTCCTTCATCCTTCTGGTAAGTATTATTCTCCTAAACACACACACACACACACACACACACACACACACACACGCTTAGATAGGCTCTTCAAAGAAGCTAAATAACCCATCTCTGGTTACACAGTAGGGAAAGAAAAGAATTAAAATTTAAAACCAGGTCCAGCTCCAAGGATAGTGAGTGCTCTCTCTACCACACAAAGCTGCCAGGTAGTGATGATGGAACCCCCCCCCCCAAGCACTGCCCCCAGGAACATCTGCCCCCTTCATCCTGAGACCCATTCCTCTACCACAGTCTTCTACTGGGTGGCCTAATGCCGGTTTTACAAATAACAAGAATTGTGTCAGCTGTTTTCCCCCTTTGATGGCAGGTAACGAACCTGAAAATATATATTCCCGTCCTCCATCAAATTCCATTCCTGGAATAGGCATCATTTGACAAGCTGCATGTGTAGTGACACAATCCAATAAAAATGAAATGAAGAAAACAACTTTATTTCTTACTACTTTCAAGCCTTTCTTATTTGAATTGTGAATACTCCAGTTATGTCTCATACATGGCCTGTCTAGAAATGCATTTTATGGTGAAATATGCCCCTGTGTGACTTGTATTTGAAACTATCTCACTTCCTTTCAAAAGCCTAGGTTAAAAAACCAAGGTGGTAGGTTTGTAAGAAATACTAAAGGGCCTCTTAACTTTCTTTATGCCACTCCTGCTCATGATAGATGACCCATATTGTCAGGTATTCTTTTCCAGGAAATAAAATATCTGCCCCAAGAACCATCTAAATCTTGCCAAAGGGGGAAAAATTCTTCTAGTTTGTAATATCATGTAATAATATGAGAAATGTATCTATGATGTAATGTAAAACAACAAAGCAGGATATGAAATTGTATGAATAGTATGATCTCAAACACACATCCTGAAAAGTCAGTCCAGAAGGAATTAACTTAGAACGTTAATAGCAGTTATTTTTTTTTATTAATGGGCTTAGGCATGCTTACTTTGTCTCTTGTAATTTTCAGTAATCAGAATATATACCTTCTTAAAAAGTCAAATAAAATTACTAAACAAGGAAAAACATATATTTTTCCAGGAGGCTTAAATACCATTCAGTAGTCCCTTAGCACCAAAAATCACGGTATGAAATTATCAACTTTAACTAATACCAGGTACATTATTCAAGAAAAGAAACTTTATATGCCAATTGTGCTGATGAGTATAGATATCAAAATCCCAAAATATCAAAAAATCAAGTACATACACAGAAAATAATACATCACGAATGAGTAGTATTTAGCTCAGAAATGAAGATTAGAAAAACCTATCAGTAAAACCCACCACAATATAAATTGAAAGGAAAAATATGTATAAGCATTGAAATAAATTTAGAAAAGGCATATGATAAAATTCAGTAAGCAAGTTCAGGATTTACTAAAAATACTTCTTGGACAATGATAAATGAAGAAGAAATAATTTTAAAATCTCTAGTAAAAATTTTAAATAACACACTTAACGGCATTTCTAGTAACTGAAGATCAAGTTAAGGATAACTCCTATCACTAAATATTGTACTGACAGACCCAGCCAATGTAATAAGACAAGAAAAAGAATAATTATTTAAGGATTAGAGAGGAAGACAGAAACCTACTTATGAGGTTTTATGCTGTCTCCATAGAAAATCAAAGAGGAATTGGAATAATTAGTAAAAATGTTCAGTAACACCATTATATTCAAGATTCAAGATCAATAAATAAACTGTTAATGTTTCCTTTTAAAGTTCCACTTAATTTGGTTCAGTCAGCAACATTTGCTTAATGGAATTACTTATTGTCCCACAGGGAAAAACTCAGGAGTAGGAAATAGACACATTCTTATGAGTACACACTCTCCCTTTTTGAACGTATGTATGTTTAATTGTGCCTTGAGCCAGAGAAATCTATTAGGAATGCACACTGTTTATCACTGTTACGTAACGAAGAATAAATGCAAAATATGACTTTGGGACAAATCAGCAATATACTTTTTAAGATATCCTTGGTTCTAGGGTGGAATAAGAGAAAACACAATGCTTATGATAAAGACCATGAAGACATGAAGACCATGAAGTCAGACAAAATCTGACTTTGGGACAAATCAGCAATATACTTTTTAAGATATCCTTGGTTCTAGGGTGGAAAAAGAGAAAACACAATGCTTATGATAAAGACCATGAAGACCATGAAGACAACATCTGACTTTGGGACAAATCAGCAATATACTTTTTAAGATATCCTTGGTTCTAGGGTGGAATAAGAGAAAACACAATGCTTATGATAAAGACCATGAAGACAAAGGAGAGGAAGAGGAATCAGAGCACAGAAATGAGAGAGGAGGAACAGAGAAAAGGAGGAAGGAAATGGAAAAAGATGAAAGGGAAAAAAGGAGATGAGAAGAAGAAAGGAGAGAAGGATACGGAAAAAAGGGAAGGAAAGAGTGATGAGGAAGAACAGACATAAAGGTTCTTGTTGGGGGCTTGGGTTGCTCAGGTGGGGAGAAGTGTTGGCCTTTGGCTCAGGTCTGATCTCAGGGTCCTGGCTCCCTGCTCAGTAGGGAGGACTGTTTCTCTCTCTCCCTCTGCCTCCCCCTCTGCTTGTGCTCTCTTTCTGTCAAATAAATAAATAAAATCTTAAAAAAACAAAAACTCTTTGTTGATCCTTTAATATATGCCAAGTACTATACCAAGTATTTAATCTGCCTTATCTCAATTATTCTTCATAGTAAGCCTTTGAAGTTTAATATTATATCCTTATTTATAGGAGAGAAAACAAATGCTCAGAGAGGTTAAGTAACTTTCAAGGTCACACAGGAAGTGGCATAACTAGAATTTGAATCCAGGTCTGTCTGTCTGGATTCCATGGAATTGGTCACTCAGTAGAAGATGCTCCTTGCAATATGTATTATGCTGATTTTAGAGTCTTTTAAGACACGAAGATGAGGAAGTTCTAAAAAGGTCACCTTCACACTCCCATTCCAAATCTTCAACTAAGCTAATGTTCTGAAAACCTGAATCCTCTCTTTAGAATGCTCCTCGTTTTGCATGTTAAAATTAAGAATGAAAAGATATGCAGTAAGATACAATTTTTAATGCATTAAGCATTCAAGAGCACAAGTTTAGTGGAAAGGTTAAATTTGAAGCAAAAATATAACTTGTCAGTTTTCACTGAAAAAGCATTTGAATTCTAGTACATATTGTGCTCTGCAATCTTTTTATCCCCTATGAAGCAGTTCTCCCAAGACCTGTTCTCTCACTGACTTGCTTTCCTTCTATTAGACTGTGATGCATAAAATACAAGGTTTACATTAAATTTTAGGAAATAAAATAGACTACTTCCAAAATATTTGTGTTTCAAGTAAACATCCAAAGCAAAATTTAGCATCCTTCCTGAGGGTTTGACTGTCGGGGAGCTGCATGTGTATTACATTTATGTCCCTTGCTTCCTACAGAGTGTCAGACAAATGCCATCACGAAACATGACTGGGCAGGCACAGCAGTGTCTCAAACAAATCACAGCCTATACAAAGCAACTAAGTGCATCCCAGTTTGCAAGCCCATATTGACAGATTTCAAGACCTGAAGGAGAAGTCTATTAATCCTCCTTCATGCATCTCAGAAGATGAGGGAGAGAAAGACAACACACAGCACGAAGTTGCTTACACCTAATTGCAACCAGGAGACAAATACACTGAAAGGCATGGTCCTAAAGCCATAGGATCAAATTCTCCAGAAAACATCAAGAGTGAGAAAATGATTTTATTATCATACTATGCATGCCAGTCCTCATTAACAGCTATTCATGTGCCTCCTCTAGGCCAAGCACATTCAAGTGTTAGAATTAAGGGGTGAACAAGAGACAATCAAAACACAGAAAATTTTTAATAAAGTGAGATTCTAACAAAGTGCTACTGCAGCAAAACAAACAAAAACAACTAACCCAATTTGGGGAGTAAGGAAAGAACTAACCTGAATATTTAAATGGGAGCCAGTCTAGGAAAAAGTAGAGAGAGACAAAGGATTTCAGGCTAGATTAATTATTCAGTGGTTCTCAAAGTCTGGTCTCTGAAGCAATAGTGTGGGGCTGGCGAGACTGGGGACCTCAAAACGGCTGACCCCAGGCCAGCAACCTCCCAATAAGGCCGCCTTGCCGCCCTGCCCTAACTTAGCACACAAAGACCCGTAACCCCTTGCCCCTAATCGGAATGCCGCCCTGCTCCCACCTTTTTGCTGAAAAGTCTTTATAGACCCCCCTGCAGTTTGCCTGGGTGTGACTTCCCAGGCCCCTGACTTCCCCTCTCTCTCCTTCCCCTGTGGGCTGCGGAACCTCGCCCTAGAGCGCACCCCATTAAAAGCCTGTTTCCACCAACTTTTGCCTGGACTCTCTATTCCATGTCACTACCAATCGGATTAAACCTGACAAATAGCACCAGTACCATCAGGGAACTTGTTCTAAATGCAGGCTTGGGCCCTACCCCAGACCTACTGAACTCAAAAATTCTGGGGAGGAGACCCAGCAATCTGTTTTAACAAGCCTTCCAGGTGATTCTGGTGCTGCTGGAATTTGAGAACTTTGGATACAAGCAAAAGTGAACTACAATAGACAGAATGCCTGCAGGGTAAACAGGGTTGGATAGGGGGGCAGGGGGTGCAGATTAGGCAGAGATGTCACTTGCTGGAGGGATGGGTAGAAGGCATACCAGGAAGGGTTTTATACATTATGAAAATAATTTTGGATTTTACCCAAGGCATAATGGAGAACCATTAAAATATTATACTACGAGTACAGAAAACAGCAAATAATACTGGCACCCATTAAAAAACATATGCCATCACAAGGGTAGTGCTGTACATGATTCCAGAGATTAAACAATGCACAGATAAACAGCCGGTAAGAAAGGAGCACATCAGCCCTACCTTTCTTTCTGGAGTCTTTCTTGGCGCTGGTTTTCACAGCTACTTGAAGTTCTGTCTCAGTTGACATCCTACTAAATCCTTAGTCCACTTCACACAGATCCCGGGCCTCGGCCAGGCTCATGGAGGACTCCTCTCCAAGAGAATGACTCCTCCCTTCAGAAACAACGCTCCAAGCTGCACATCTCATTCACTCCTTCCGAGCTCTGCAAACCAAGCCAAAAGAATGTTCAGAATCATCACCCTTTTGAGGTTAAGCAGAAATTAGTCGGAGCATGGGGAAATGAATTGTCAAACAAACAAAACCAGGAAAATCTTGGTCTCCATGTACAAACTGCTCACATGAGTAGCCTGGGTGGCTCAGTGGTTTAGTGCCACCTTCAGCCCAGGTTGTGATCCTGGAGACCACGGATCAAGTCCCGTGTCTGGCTCCCTGCGTAGAGCCTGCTTCTCCCTCTGCCTGTGTCTCTGCCTCTGTGTGTGTGTGTGTGTGTGTGTGTGTGTGTGTGTCTCATGAATAAATAAATAAAATCTTTTTTAAAAAGTTCAAAAAAAAAAACTGCTCACACGATGTCATGGAGCCAATGACAGTGTTTGTAGCAAAGGGAATTAGAGGGAGGTCTGTCTGGAAAATGGTCTCACAACCTCGGTACATAACTTAAAACAGATCTTTTTAAAACTCTGGATTTCCAAGGAGGACAAAACCCAATTCCTTGTTTTCCAAGTTCCTTGCTTTCAAGCACTAGATGCCACCCAGAAAATACAGCAAAGGAGTATTTCCTGAGCAACCCCATGGAGACATTCCCAACAACAGGGCACCCATCCATCAGCCAAGCTTGATCAGAGCCTTGGCAGCTAAAGCAGATCATAGGGAAGTGACCTGTGCTTTATCCCTCACTGCCAGGCATCAGAAGGGACATGGAGTTGACATACAATTGGGCTCCAAGGGTAAGGTGACAAATGGGGCTGAGAAACTTTCCAGCAAGCCAATTTTTATGTCAGCTTTTTCCTCAGCTGTAAGAGCAGACAAGCATTTAATGTGGGGAGAAAAAGAAAAGAAGCAGGCAGCCACACATTCCATTCTTTCTTTAATAAATATGCACTGCACACTACTAGGTACTATTAAGTCCAGACACTGTGCTGGGAAGAGATGATAATGATAATAATGATAATACCACCACTTCAATTACAGCTGGTATTTACTATGCACTTACTATATACTATGCCCTCAGCTACTGCTTCACATACATTATCTCATTTGATTTTAGTTAAATTGAATGAATGTATTTCCTGTGTCAACAGTCTTTCCCGGTGACCATCTATCTGACAGTTACATCAGAGAGTTCGCTGGTTATCCATTCTTAAAGAAAATGAAGATAGAGCTATTGGAAATGGATCTTCAAACTGTGTAGCCAATTCTGAGCTCAACCCACAGACCCAGAATGGCTGACTCTGAATGCCCATTTCCGCTCAAAAAGAACAGTAAACCAAACTTCTTAATCATTACAACTAAAAATGGCTTAACTAGAAGAGGCTTTATAGATTTGTCCATGTTGTTACAAATGGCAAGAGGATATAATGCTGAGTCAGAAAGACAAATGCCATATGATTTCACTTGTATGTAGAATTTAAGAAATAAAACAAAGAAGAAAAGAGATGGACAAACATACTTTTATATACAGAGAACAAACCAGAAGCGAGGGAAGGGGGGTTGGGTAAAATCAGTGAAGGGGATTAAGAGTCCACTTATTGTGATGAGCACTGAGTTATGCATTGAATTGGTGAATCACTATATTATACATCTGAAACTAAGTGTGTCGATTATGCTTAGATAAAAATAAAATCAGTAAAATTATAAGGCCCAATAATAGGGTAATTCCCACCTTACCCAATGATATTTGGTTTATTTATTTGTTAACAGGCTTTTTTTTTTTAAAGGACACAGGCCCTTAATTAAAGATGTCTGAACTACAGTAACTAAAGCTACAACTAAGGAAAATGCAAAAGTGCCTTCCTAGAATAAAATCATACACAGACGAGAACTTTCCCTGCCACCTTTGTGCCATCTATCTGCATCATACCACTAGCCCTCACCCCCTCCTAACGTCTCTGCCAGCCAAAGACAACATTCCATTAGAGATGACAGAGCCACAAAGCTTGGTCATACATGGACATAATTTTATTACTAATACTGATCATTTCACTGCAATAAATATCTGCTAAGAACCTACTCTGGGCCAGGTGCAAATGCTAGCTCATTCATGTCTATAGACATCTACAGTGCAACCACACTGGCTAGGAGTATGGATTCTTAACCCCTTTCCTCAAAGATACTCAGTCCAAAAGAGATGTCAGTCATGTAAGGGACTGCAATACACACAACCAGAACTAACACAAATAAATACCAGGTATACTACAACACAAAGGAGCAAATACTCACCTTTGCTTGGAAGAGTCAATAAAACTTCTCAGAGGAGGAGCCCTACCCTATGGGGTCTTGAAGAATGATTTTTTTAAAGACTTTATTTATTTATTTAACAGAGAGAGAGACAGAGACAGAGAGAGAACAAGCAAGGGGGAGTGGCAGAAGGAGAGGGAGAAGCAGGCTGCCAGAGGAGCAGAGAGTCCAATGCAGGGCTTGATCCCAGGACCCTGGGATCATGACCTGAGCCAAAAGCAGACGCTTAACTGACTGAGCCACCCAGGCACCCTTGAAGAATGATTCTTATGTCAAGTGGACAATAAGAGAATGAAACAGTGGGCACTCAATAAATACATGTATAATGAAATGGTTATTCTGGAAGAAGGATCAGCTGTGCAAAGGCACGGAGCCTTAAATAACAGCACAACTAATAAAAGGAAATCTAAGTCTGGTAGGGAGGTGATATACCCTCTCATCTTTCCAATTTTAATTCGTGGTGCTACCTCTATATTCAATCTTTCTTCCTGAGTCAGCCTTAACATTCTATTGACCCCTCAGGGTTCAGTTCAAAGGAGTATCATAGGCAGAAAAGTTTTCCGATTGTTCTATTAAATGGAATCTTTCCCTACTTATACCATGATCTGTTTTTTGGCCAGCTGCATAGTTTCAGCCACTTATAAGAATGTGATATTGAGGAAGTTACTCAACCCCTCTTTGCCTCAGTTTTTCTATCTGTATAATGGGGGTAACATGGAGCTACTGCAGGAATTAAGCGTGACCACACATATCATATGCTTGGAAGAGGACCTGACACACCTTCTGGAAAGTACTTAATAAACATGGGGGCACTAATAATTTCCTACATTAACTGCTCAAGGTCATGTGGCGATACGTAACTACAAGGCCATAACACTGTGATCCTCCCTTTATAGAAGGGGAAGCTAAGGCAGGTTAAGTCTACCTTGTAAAGATATTGCAGAAAGAGATAGGACCTAAGATATTTCCATCATGCTGGTTTTGTACACAGTAAATAATAAAGTAACATATAAATAAAAAAATAAGCTGAAATTATGGATTTTACATAATTTCAAGTATTCTAAAAGTTCATGCATGAAACTGGAATGGAATGGGCCACTTTTTCCCCTTCAACTTTATAAAGCACAATATAGCACCTCTCCCTATTCTGTGGGTATCTCCAGCACCACTTGTTTGACAAAATGTGACTGTGTTCAAGTGTTGTAAAGCATTCCTTGTGGATTTCTAAAGTATACCCAGATACCAAGAATGAAAGGAAACCAACATCATTTCAAATAAAACCTTAAATAAGGAAGGTGTTGCAGTATGGAGAGAACATAGCACAGCCCGGATCATGGCATCCCCTTTAATTTTCCAAAAGCCAGAGGTTGGGAAGATGCTGTAAAGTAACTCCAAATTATTTAGGAAATTCATTTCTTTGTAATTAAGGAGATTAAATTCCCCCAAGGGCCAGAAACCATGTGACAACTCAAATCATTTTCCCCCAGTAAAAGCTGTGAAACCCTATCAGTTAAATTCAGGCTCGCCTAGAATTTTGAAATGCTTCAATAATGTTTCTTTGCTCCACACAATCTGCAGTAATTTAATATTCCTGAAGTGTGTCAGGTTTTTTATAATGAGCTCTTCAAATCTAAATGTGAATTATGTAACATTCCACTACATTCTGTCTAGTGAACTGCTTCTAAATGTAAAATCCTGTGTTCGGTGATGGGGGGAGGGGGTTTGGTAGGAGGGGGGCACAAAGACACCAAACCACAAAGCAGAGAAAACACACAGGCCTTAAAAAAAAAAAAAAAAAAAAAAGCAGCATAAAGGTTTGAGCAGCCACAACAGAACATACTAAAAAACCTACTGTAACACAAATCTGTGCTTTCTCTTCCCCCAGCCACCCCTCTCATACGATCCTACCATAGACTAGCTAACATTTAGGATGGCCCACTATTTGCCAGCTACCATACTATGAACTTCTTTTACTCAATCTTTCAGCCACTTGAAAATTTGAGTATTATTATTTTTCATTTTACAAATAAAGAAAAGCAAAAGTCAGTTTAGTAGCTTGTCCACAGCCCCACATGCCTATTAAGTAGCACAACGCAGGGCAGGGTATAAACCACTCCTCTCTCCACCTTCAGGGGGAATCCTCCCAGATGGCCATCAGCTGGTAAATGGATAAACAAAATGTGGTATGTCCATACAATGGAATATTATTTGGCCATAATAAGGAAAGAAGTATTGATACACTGCTACAACAGGGATGAGCCTTGAAAACAGTAGGCCAAATAAAAGAAGTTAAACACAAAAGGCCACATGCTCTATGAGTCTCTATGAGTCTATCTATATGAACTATCCAAAATAGAAACATCCACAGAGAGATGGAAAGCAGATCAGTGGTTGCCAGGAATGGAGGGAAGCAAGGAAGAGGGAGTGACTGCTTCATGGGTTCAGGGTCTCCTCTGGGGGTGCTAAAAAGATTCTGGAACTAGAGAGAGGTAGTGGTTGCACAGCATCATAAATGTAATAAATACTTTGGATTGTATGCATTAAAATGGTCAACTTTGTGTGAATTTCACCTAAATAAAGTAAAAACAAAACAGAAAACCTCCAAGCCAGGTCCCACACCCAGACTTCAGCCTTTGTGATATGCTAAGAACACTGTAAATTCTAGTCCAAGAGGGTAGCCCTGACTTAAAACACAGATGAAGGGGCGGTCTTCCCAGAAGCCAGACTTGGGGTTTGTTCGTGTTGCAG